TTTTTTTTTATAAAATTCTGCGGTAAAAGTCATACCTTATTTTCAGTTCGTCTACACGATAGCATTCAGGAGGAGTCGTTTCACTACCTTGTATTTGACTTGTAGGTTTTGGCATTCTTTTGATTTTCTTCTTTTCCGTTATGTTATATCTTTCTCAAACCCCCGAGTTGAGATACATAAAGCATTTTCTCAATTAGTGCAAGAAATGCCCTGCTAATAAGATTTAACAACATGGGAGCGACTTTAATAAGGTCCAACATTGTTAGTAGAAAAGAAATCGAATTAGGGTAAGAGCGCGATAGCAGCAAAATGAGATGAGAGAATCATCCTTCCACTAGGGATCTGTTCGAGGTACTTTGCTGTGTGCCAATCAAATGTTTAGTAACATTATTGTTAACTACAAAAACAAATGTTAACGCTAATTCTAACTCCGTAGAATTAGTGTCACCTTTTACTATCACATGTTTCAGGTTCTGTTTGGCGAAATTTTGTTTTTATACAGTTTCGGAAAATACGTAATTCAAAACAGTGTAGCATTGTATCAAATGTTTCAGAGTTACTGGAGGTGAATTGTTTGAAGATATTGTGGCCAGAGAGTTCTACAGCGAAGCGGATGCAAGGTAAGTGGAAATTTAATGCGGGGGATCAAGTAACATCCTGGTTGGTCAATAACCCCTGATAGTCACACATAGAAAAATTGAATTGCAAAGAATGCTACGCATCTTAATAAAAACATCACTTTTTGACCTTTGCCGACACATCATACTTCATGTGGTTGTGTGATATCGAACAGCAAAAAATTTCTAGCAGGGGTACGGTAGAAAAATTGACTAATAGCGGCATGGCATTTTTTGGAACAGGTAAACTTTACCATTACTTTTGTCTTGAAGAAAATGGAAGATAGTTCTACTCTATGTGAAGAGCATCTTTTCATTAGATTAGCAATCTACTTTGCAAGATTTCGAAGTCTATTTTACGAGTAGGAAGCGCTTCACTTTTGTTTCAGTCCCCTTGTAAAACCTTTGTTTGATTATCTATTTCGTCTGTAGAGTATTGTTCAAAAAATCTTTTTACAGAGCCTCAAAAACTTGCATTTTCCTCCTTAAGATATTCTTGAAGTTTAATTCAATATTTGTCCTCCGTTCTTTTTTTTGTTAAACTGTATTTTTTGAAGAACTTGTTATTGTGAATATATAGCTTCTCAAAAATCGAAAAGTGTTTAATCCTTTTTAGTTACTGTATTTGGCAAGTCCTTGAAGGAGTTAATTACTGTCATCAACGCGGTGTTGTTCATAGAGACATGAAGGTTTGGATTAGTAGTAGAAATGCGGGTGCTGTCTGTTTTGTTGTGAAGCTTTTTAACCACTGGCTATAATCTTATTCCCATTAATGCTATACGTTAGTTATGGAGGGAATGATTATCATATTTTCAGCATAGAATTTGTTTACGGCATGAAAGCGTGTATTCGAATATTGCCTTGTCCAACTAGGCATAATCTTACTTCTTTCATGCAATCATTTATCACAAACTCTCTAATCTTTTTATGGTTTTTCTGATAGTAGAAGCGAAATTTGTATCAGACAAAGAATTATTGAAGGAGATTTAACGGAAAATGTGGATCTCCACAATTTTCAAGAAGCTTCTTCTTAGTTGTAGTTCAGTTTTACTAACCCCTTGAGTGCCGTTTCAGTCACTGTATCCAGCAAATTCTGGAATCAATCGCCTATTGCCATCAAAACTGCATCGTACACAGGGATCTAAAGGTATGATACATGTTGACAACCATTCTCGATCCCCGTGCTTCGATTGGAAGGAGATAAAATTTTTTGGTTGATATGCACTCTGTGAAAAATCGTAACAACCAGAGAAAGTGAGAATCAAGCAGCCTCCACGCAAAAATGGCTTTGCTTCAATACATTGGTGATTAAAATTCATTTGCTGGATGAGTGATATTATATCTAACATTAAGAACGAAATGCAATGCTTGATTTTTTTTTACTGCTTCGCCTGTCTAATTTAGGACTGCCTGAGTTGTTGTTCCAATAAATACGAAATGTCCCAAAAAATGTGATCACTTTTTCATAAATAGGAACTCTCTCACTTCCAAATCTTTCCTGGGCCTCGTCAGTTCAATTTTGTTTGAACTTAAATTTCTACTCATGCACGAATTTCACACTCTTTGATACGATAGGTTTAACTAAAGTATATGGCTTTAGGTTGGTATGACGGAACGTTACCATTGACCGAAAGATAGTGCAATAACACCAAAAACCAGTGTGAAAGGTTACAGTCCTTAAATATTGTTTTGTAAGTCAGGGAGGTACTCAACGGCGAGGCTAAGACCACCTAATACTTTACCGTGATAGGGAGAGGTGTAAAATCCGCTTCTGAGTGATCTGGTTTGAACTAATCTTTCAGTATGATTCTGTGAAGCCTTTGAAAAGATATGGAGCTTAAAGAGTTGTAAAGGATTTAACTGATCACATTTTTTGGAACGCCTTGTATGTTGTTTGCTAGTTGAGTTTTGCGTCTTTCAGCCGGAAAATCTGTTGCTTGCGAGCAAAGCTAAAGGGGCAGCTGTAAAACTGGCTGATTTTGGCTTAGCCATCGAAGTTGGTCAAGACACTGAGGCATGGTTCGGTTTTGCTGGCACGCCGGGTTATCTCTCTCCGGAAGTGCTAAAGAAGGACCCATACGGAAAACCAGTTGATATATGGGCATGTGGTGAGCTTAGCTAGATTCAAATTGTTTAGGTTAAATTCGGTTTTTTGATCTCTGCCGTTTTGGAGGTAATATTTAACCTTTTGAGTAATTAGTTTATTCTTGAGGAGTGATTCTTTATATATTGCTTGTCGGCTACCCTCCTTTCTGGGATGAGGACCAGCACAGACTGTACGCGCAGATCAAGGCCGGTGCATATGACGTGAGTACGGATTTTTTGAAATATTAATCAAAATTGTTAAGTGAGATGAGTACAAGTGCCAAATAACCGTCTTGAAAATTCTTTTAGAAGAGTAGCTTGGTTTACGATTTCTGAAAACCGCAAAATTTTTGATGGCAGCAATCCCATCATACCCTACATTAAAACGGCGACGAAACTTAAGTATCTGTTGAAAATCTATTTAGAAAACCTACTTCTCCTGATTTGTAGTATCCTAGATAGTTAGTAACTCGTAATTGTGACAGTTTCAAATTCTAAATACATAATCGTTAATATAACCCATATCTTGCAGTACCCAAGTCCTGAATGGGATACGGTAACACCGGAAGCTAAAAGCTTAATAGACAGTATGCTTACGGTCAATCCGAAGAAACGGATAACTGCCGATCAAGCGCTCAAAGTACCGTGGATATGTGTAAGTTTGCAATTTTTCCCCCTGCAGCGAAAGTGACATTGTCAAAAATTTATTGTATTCAGAATCGTGAACGTGTAGCGTCTGTTATGCATCGACAGGATACTGTAGACTGTTTGAAGAAGTTCAATGCGAGAAGGAAGCTCAAGGTACTTTTAAGTAAAAGTCAGTAGCTACGATAGAGCATGTTTACGGATGATTGCTGAAAGATGCATAACGGCGTTGCAGCTATTGTAGAAAGGAAAAATGTCAGTCGCTCTAGTTTTTTTTTCGATGGGATTTGGAAAAAGGAGGGAAAAGGCGAAAAAAACTTGAGGTTTGAGGGTTGAAAAGCTTGCGAAATTCGCGTTTTTATTTATTTTAAACTTCTTCCGCAGATCATTGAATCGGTTTTCATCATAACGCGCGCGATTATGTTATTTCAATATTTCGTCTTGAGCGTGTATGAATATTTATGGTCATTCGAAAAGTGTCCCACAAATGATTTTCCTGTTTTAACGTTTTAGCCATAGATGTTGTAGGAATTAACTACATTGATCACTCCATTCTTGTCTTATTTCAAATGTATAAGATCCAATTTTAGGCGTTTCCCTTTTCTTTTCCTATTTTTCTTTTTTTCTGAGCCATTCCGTTAGTTCAGTAGTGGTAATGCTGGCCATTTGTACATGCAGTATTGATGCGTTTATTTTTTGAGTTCCTTTCGCGTATACTCGGATCTTGTTTTGTAGTGTGATATCAACTTATTTACGAGCTTGTTCTCACAATTGCGGAAGAATTGCAGAACTGCAGCTTAACCGCAATACTTAAAATGAACC